AAACATACGTTAAGCGATTATGCGTTTTAATTTGAGGTGATTCTTTTGTTGGTGTAACTGCTTTAAGTTACAGTCTAGTTAAGTCTAATCATCACCAGCGGTACGTTTCACTTTTCGCTGCTTAGGGCTCTGACCCTGCTTTGGGCTGCTCTGTTTGCCTGGCTTTGGAGAAGTTTTTAGTGCCTTGGATTTAGGTGGCGATTGCTCTGAAATATAATAAAATAGAAAGATTTAAGATTATTTCGAATACAAAGTGTAAACAAACAATATAACTTACGCAGCACACGCAATGTTTCTTGTGGCAGCCACTCATATTCGATGTTGCTGTCGTTAGAAGTGCCTGTTTCGATTGTCTTTTTAGCGGCAGCACGCTTCCTCTTGCCCGAAGAGCCTAGGAGGTATTGCTGACCGATGACCAGCAACAGTACAACAATACCAGCCAATAGCACGTACAAGAAGAACGTTTCACCATCCAATCCTTCATCTATTTCGGAAATCAACACTGTTTCATTGAAAACTGCTTCGCTGAATTGGCCTCCAAGGGAATCACGATAATTCAAAGCAATATTTAAGCCAAATGGGCGGCCAGCGAATGTGTCGGATGGCAGGAAAGAGTATGCAACCGTAGCCTCCGAACCAGGTTTTACTTCACGATTGTATGCGACAGCTGAGAAGTTCTGTATGTGATAGTTGAAGTCCATGGGATAGCGGAAAGAAGCTTCCACGGTTTCGATGACAAAATCATTTTTGCCTTTATTTGTGAAACCAATAAGGAATTCAACGGGTTTGCCACCTGGTAAATCTAATTGTTGTCCAGCCGTATACAAGGGCTTCGTGAAAAGCAAAAACGTGTCGGCATAAGGAGAAGTGGTCGATGTAGAATCAGGGTCTTCATCTGCTTCAACGTCCTCACCGGTCACGGCGCCATCTTCGGCCTCCACATCTACGAGGTCATCCTCCGCTGAGCCATCAGCAAACGCCACAAATTTGTGTTCTATAAAAA